TTTAACACCAAAATTACCAAATAGAATTACATTTTCAACAGTTATCAATGAAGCACATGCAGCAGAAATTGCTTCATGGGTTCATAAGAAAGCTAATTCATATTCAGCAACAAATAATCCATATGAGTTTAAATTACTTCTTCGTGGAACTAGTGATGGTTTTACCAATGATTCATTTTGGGATTTATGCGATAAGAAAACACATCTTGTTTTAGTTATGAAAGTTAAAAAATACTGATGAAATTCTTGGTGGTTATAATCCTGTTGGTTGGGATAAATCATTTGTAGGTTGCAAAGATAGCTTTATTTTTTCATTGAAAAATGGTACTATTCAAAATTCTATTTTAAGTCATGTAAAAAAACCAGGCATGCAATTGAGAGTAATTCTAGTTGTGGACCATTATTTGGTTATTGCAGTGATTTAGCTATGAAGAATAATTTTAATCAAGATAAACAGTGTTGGAGTAGTCAATTTTCATATAAAAAATGAATTAGAAATGAATCTACATTTGAAAGTGATAAATGTTCATTTTTTTCAGTGGAAGAATATGAAATATTTCAGATTAGTAAAAACTCCTAAAGTTTTATGCTAATTAATTAGCCAGATACATGGCTTTATCAATATTGTGCAATAACACAGTCTATTTAGTTTATGAGTCTTAGTCTTATACTATCACTAAAAGTATAGACATGCTATAATTATGAATCACCTGTTTTTGTAATACTTTAAATTCTTGCTCATTCTTAGGCAAAATTTAAAAATATCATATTTAGTACTAATAAAAAAAGAGTAATCATTCAATTTCATGAAACATGTAATGGAATCATCGTTATATTTTCAAAGAATATGTATACGTAAATTTATAATGATATCATTACATAATTATATAAATAAATTGGCTTCCTTTGGCAACTAGTATATATAGATTCTCATTCTTTAATACTTTCAAAACATCAACGATTTTGCTATTGTGATATTAAAAGATTAATGGTTGAAATTGTAGAAAGTAAAGAAATTTTGAGAAATTCGATCAACCTTATTTGGAAAGCAACCCGACTAATAAGTGAGCTAACGCATTTTCTTTAATTGAGGTAAATTCTTCTGAGTTAAAAATCTTATCAGGATACTTTACTAAAATATTGTTGCACCATTTTTGTAATTCTTGAGGCTTATTATTTTGGAAACTTTTTTGATAAATACGAATAAAAATTAAACGAAGCCAATGAGCTTCCGTTCAATTAAGTGAGATGAGGTCACGTGAATTGGCCCAAATATCGAATAAATTTTGATCAGACGCAAGTTTTAGTTTGACGCATAACAACTTTAAAGTTGAATAATATTTTTACATTTAGCATATCTACTAATATATTACATATCTACTACTATCTACTCTTTTAGTTGATTCATCAGAAGTTATTTATTAATTATAAAGCTAACGACCGATTCTGTTGATTCAGGGCATTTAAAATTCTATCTAATAACTTAGTAATGAATTCAATCTTTGACTTTTAAATCTTGTATGCTGCTATCCCGAACTAAATAAAAATGACATTAATGATAAAAAAAAAATGCTAATAAAAAAATACTACCTTGAGAGATCGAATCAGTCGGAGGAATGTGTTTGCTTCCACCTCTAAACAAGTTCGCGTAATAATCATCGATATTTTCAAGTACAGGTTTGGACGTGGATAACTCCGATAAGATATTTTTGTCGTCCAGACATTCATTAAACTTTTCACGGATCGTTTTTGCCGTAGGTCGTTCTGTTTCCTCTTCCCAACATTTTCTCATTAATTCAACGTAACATCGCGGGGCTTCTTCGTCTACAAATGGCCGTAAACCATCATAGCATATTTTTAAATGAAGTTCTTATTCACTTAATTTTTGTCGATATTATATAGGCTTTCCGTACAATATTTCCCACATAATCATTCCGAATGAATAAACATCAAATTCTTTAGAATATTGTTTATGAATTAAAACTTCTGGGGCAATATAAGGTAAAACTCCATACACTCTATCATTTTTCTTATTAGAAGCGGGACAGGATAATCCTAAATCTACAACATACGCACTATACAAATTATCTAGTAAAACATTACCGCTATGTAAGTCTCTATGTATAAGAGATTGAGAATGAATTTCTTCAAGATCAGAAACAATATAACTCAATATACGTAATTTTTTTCCCATTCTAATCGTGCCACAGTATTAAGATTACTTCGTAATGAACTCATACTTGCATAATCCATAACAAGAACATAATCTTGAAAAATGTTATGTTTTGATAATCCAAAAAAATTTTAAAAGTTCTGACTAGTTCTCCGATCGGGTTGACCCGAATGACCCGAAACCAACCCGGTTATAATGAACTTACTATATGGGTCATGACCCATCTAATAAATTTATTATAACCGGGTTGTTTTCGGGTCATTCGGGTCAACCAGATCGGAGCACTAGTTCTGACTTTTAAGACCAATATCACAATAAGCTTTTAACGTTAAAAAAAAATATACATTTTAGTTATAATAATATATTTTAACTTTATTAAAAGCAAACTATTACAGTTTAAACTAAGATTTTTATGGAAATAGCTACAATATGCTATTATAAAATAAATTTTGTATAGTAAGGCTTAAAAACTTTAATTTTTCTTTTCGCAGCTCCGGTTAATGAATTTTTTTAATAGCTTTAATTATTCAAAAATTCATTAATTATAGAGGCACAGTCAGGTACCATTATATAAATACTAAAAAAAATGTTTTTTATTTTTTAATAAGAGCTTTTTTTAATAAAAGAAAAGTAAATATATAATTAATTACCTATGTCCAACTTTAGGAATTCTACAAAATTTGGTGTTGGGAATTTCATGACTAAGTAATTCCGCTTCTTCAATAGGAACAATTTCGTCAACTTCGCCATGAATTATCAACGTCGGAACTTTAATTTCTTTTATCCTTGAAACCAAGTCAGACTGTTTGATTGCTTCCCATTGACGTTCTACGAATATATAGTTTTAGTATCAATAATTATTAGCATAATATGTGTGTGTGTACATACTGAAAATTTCAAATGGACGGTTAACATTGGTTTTAAGAATAATCTCCGAAATTTTATCAAATTTATCAGGATGTTCAAGCAGATAATCAGCTAAATTCTTTTCACGATCAAGAAGCGTAAGCTTTTGCTCTTGAATAGTTTTAGGATAATCCATTTTTGGTAATTTATACTGTTGTTCAAATTGCTTGGAGAACTTTAAATCTACATTAAAACGAGCAAAACTTCAAAGTAAAATAAAGGAAGTTAATTCCAAATATAACTTATAAATTATTCAGGAAATCTACATATGTACCCTGAGCAAATAATTAATTTCTCCAGTTTAAGATCCAACGGAATCTTTGAGGCAGTACAGAGTGCTATATTACCTATAAATGTTTTTTTACATTTAAATTATAGAAATCATCAAAAACTTAAAATAATCATTAAAAATAATTATTAAAATTCAAAAATTACCACCCATAGACAGTCCAAATAAATTAAACCTTTCAATTTCAAGATGTCTAATTAATTCAATTGTATCTTGTGCCATTAATTCAATTGTGATAGGATCATCATAAGAAGCAATTGTTGACTCTCCAATTCCACGATTATCAAATACAATTACTAGTAATAATCAATTTGAAAATAGCATTAATGATAATGTTTATAAAAAGCAACTTCCTTGTAATTAGTATTTTAAAAAATTATTGGATAGATAGTAAATTAATGAATTGTGTAAATCTATAAAACCATAAATCTATTATAAGTGAGACGAAATTTGAAATTCTTAAAATTTTAGTGCACATTTATAACTCAAAATTACAGTTCCTATCTAATTGTTATAACGACCCTGCGTGTCTATATGTAAAAGTTCAAAAGTTTTCATGAAATTTTTATACTGAATTCTATAATAATTTTACTATAAAAATTGTGCTTGTTATAAAAAGATTCGTGTTAACTGTATTCTGAAAATCATGTATGTTGCTTCCAATCAAAATTGTTTAGCATAAAGGAATATGTGATATCTTAAATATCATATACATATCTTAAATATATATATATATATATATTCCAAAACATATATATTCCAAAGCATATATATTCCAAAGCATATATATTCAAAAGATATATATTCCAAAGCATATATATTCCAAAGCATATATATCCCAAAGCCAATACAGTCAACTTTCCCCCATTAATCCAAACATTTAATAAACTCTGAGAAAACTGAACACAAAGTTTTAGAACACTTATAGTAAATGTTTTAAACTGAACATTTTTAAAAATTTTTACATAAAAGTCAATTAAGTTCGGTTTAAGCAGAGTTAACATATATATTTTTTTAACTGTGCACCTTACCGCTTTACATATACTAGATTTTATGTCCAATTTCTTCATTCAATCAATATTAATGACTAACCTGTTTGGTTATTCGCTAATTCTAATGGTAGTTCAATTTGATTACACAATCAATCATACATTTTTCTTAAATACAACAAAAATAACTGTAATTTATCTTCTTCTAAGCCATAAAAAAGCTCTTTAGTGCCATTGCTAAACAAGTTTACAGATTATGGTTAAACCAGGAAATATAAAAGATTGTCAATATTAAAACTGTTATATTTACAATCCCATGATTAATACAAGTGGAATCTCATTTTTTATATTTTTAGATTCAAAACTCTTGTATGCAATTTTTGATCCATCTTGTTGTTGGAAGAAACGAGTTTCAGACATTCGTATTTAAATTTTATTTGTAACGATAAAAAAATTATTTGGAAAATAAGTGGTCATATTTATATACTATACAATTAGGAATTTTGTTGATAGCACAATGTATTTTTTTTCCCTTAAAGCGGCAATCTTGCCTTTATGTCTTTATTAAGGTAACATATAATTACATCATTAATATACAAAGTCTATC